TCTGATGCTGCTTGGCCTGCTGTGTTCATCCAGCTCTACACCATGTTATCTCAGATTCTCCAGCATCTGCCGTTCCTACTGTCTCTGATTAATTTAGGAGCAGTTCTGAGAACTTTCGCTCAAATCATTCCTAGGATGATGGACTTAGTCTGAAAGATTGAGCAGGTTTGTTTTTTACTCATTGGGGTTGAGAAGCATGAAAGGTGATCTGATTGAAATAGATAAGATTTGAGGTGATTAGGCAGACTGGATGCTGAAAGCCTATTTCCACTTGTGGGGGGGACTAGATCTCCCAGACATTAAGAGAAAAAATAATTCTGTTTGACTAAGAAGGCTCCCTTTTAATACAAGGGGTCATTATTCTGTGGAATTCTCTTCCCCAGTAGTTACATGAGGTTGGCTCTTAAAATTTATTCAAGGCTGCATTTGATAGATTCTTGGTAGACAAGAGAGTCAAGGATTATAAGGGGAAGACAGCAAAGTGGAGTTGAAGCCGCAACCAGGTCAGCCCTAATCTTATTGAATGGTAGGATGAGTAGGCCATTTGGCTCTATGTTGACCTGTTCCTGTCACTGGAGCAATCAGCCATTTGGCCAATGAATTCGTCCTGTCACCTAGCTGACACAATTTGTCCTGCTATCACGCATAGCTCTCCTTTCCCTGGTGCTATCTCATTTCAAAATCTCCAAATTCACTAGCCCCAAGAGTGGAAATCTGGTCATGCAGGAAAGCATCAGCTGTAATCTGCAAGAGGGCTTTTGTTCCTGATGGAGGAGTGGAGGTAGTCAATAAAAAGGCAGGGTTTCTGAAAGACTCCATTTCCTGGCCTTTTCTTTTGCTGCTGTAGGAATTGACCCTCAGGGAGCAGTCCAATACACCCACCAATAAAACCAAGCAAAATTTAAAAGGGCTTTGCACTGATTAGAAATCAGCCTGCACTCCACAGTGTCATCACATCTCACTATTCAGAAATCTTCCCTTGAGATCTCTCTAGGGTTGCTGCACAAAGTCTAGGAAGCTTTGCTGTGAAGATTTAAGTACAGATGGCACACCTGCCACAAAGTGACAGCATCTTAACTGCTGCCAGCACCCCAGGCCATTAAGCCACACAATAGTTAGATAAAGAGGGACTAGGAATCCTTTTTAGGTCAAGTACTCGGGAGTGATGACTCCATGAATCCCTACTGTGTGGAAGCAGGCCATTCGACCCATCAGGTCCACAGTGACCCTCCAAAGATCATTCCCCCCACCTCCAAACACTAACCCTGCATTTCCCAAGGGGAATGCACCTAACCTGCATATCTTTGGAGTGTGGGAGGAAACTGGAGCACCCAGAGGGAGTGTAAACTCCACACAGACGGTCGCCTGAGGGTGGAATCGAACCTGGGTCCCTGATGCTGTGAGACAGCAGTGCTAACCACTGAGCTACATGCTCCTGATGAGGGATTGTAAAGTGGCGAGCTCACTGAATGGGAAGTGTCAATGACTCCTTTACACCACAATAAACAGGTAACCGGGTAGATGTTGCAAATATCTCACTCCTGTACGGCACACCAAATACAACTCGAGCACTATCAGCTTCACAAGCATCAGCAATCTGGTTCTTGCCCTGTTCTGACACAAAAGCTGTCCTTTATGAAATGCAGACATCTAACCTCTCTGCAGAGGATCAGGTAGGGGAATGATGCCTTCTGTTGAATACCCTTTACTCTCTCTGCTGCCGCCTCCTCCCAGCAGCTTGTCCTGCAGTATAACTTCTCTGTTCGTTGTTTCTGTTATGTCCATAGAGTCATACAGCATGGAAACGGACCCTTCGGTCCAATTAGTCCACGCCAACCATGTTCCCAAACTGAACTAGTCCCACTT